ACAGGTTCAAGACCAGAAACTTCACACTTGACTTTTCATTAATCCTAACACCAAGCTAGTCAGGAGGCTCGGGCTATTCCTATTGTAACTATGTGGATCTCAAGGTGTGAAGAGGAATAAAAGTTGTTTACTATGTCTTTTTGTTCAGTCACTAAGTCGTGTCTGACTCTTTTGTGACTCCGTGGTCTATAGCCCACCAGGCTCCTCTGTCCATAGAATTCTCCAGGCAAGAATATTGGAGTGGGTTGCCAATTCCTTCTCCAGGGGATCTTCCTGACCCAGGGATCGAACCCAGGCCTCCTGAATTGGCAGGCAGTTCCATCACTGCTGAGCCACCAAGAAAGCCCTGTTTACCACGTATCATACAGCAAAGGCCACCTGGGACTTGTCAACTCCAAGCCATGCTGTCAGGGGTGTAAGTGGAAGAGAAAGGGTTCAGAAAAGTTGAGCAAAAAGGCAGTTAACTGAAACAAAGATGGGGTAAAAAACCTCCCAAAGCTTCGAACAGTCCAAATCAGTTATCCAGACTGAAACTTCTCTGGAGGGAAGGAAGGTTATTCCACAGGGCCTCCTCAACTGCTAGAGATATCCCTAAAGGACACTCAGTTCCCTCTGATCTAATTCAGTCTTCACCAAACATACTTTGGAGCTTTAATTTGATCTCCCAGGGATGCCTTCCCACCAAGAGGGAGGACCTTGGATATGTGACCATGGATGGTCAGCTGCCAGCTTTTAGTCTCTGGGCTAAAACACCAGCTCAGTCAGGTGGAGTTCATTTAGTCTCCACTGAGTAGAATTATTAGGAATTAGTTTCCAATAATTCTTTCCTGGTGGCTCAGATGGTAAAGAATCTGCCAGCAATCCGGGAGACCTGGGTTTGATCCCTGGGTGGGGACGATCCCCTGGAGGAGGCATGGCAACCCACTCCAGTATTCTTGCCTGGAGAATCCCAAAGGACAGAGGAGCCTCGTGGGCTACAGTCCATGGTGTCACAAAGAGTCAGACACGACTGAGCAACTAAGCATAGCACACAGCACAGTTCCTATAAAGATCAGCCATGAATTAACTAAAATGACATTTCTGATCTTACGAACCCAAGGAACTCAGTCCTGGATCTTCAGTGACTTCCACCAAAATGTATACCTAGTCCCAGGTCTTCCCGATGGTCCAGCAGCTAAGATTCTGTGTTCCCAGTGCAGGGGCCTGAGTTCAGGCCTTGTTTGGGGAACTAGATCCCACCACAACTAAAGAAACTGCATGCCGCAACTAAGACCCAGCACAGCCAAATAAATAAATAACAAGTAAAATTTTTAAAATGTATACACAGCCCAGAGGATACACCTCAAAACAACCTACCAAGTTCTCTAGCCATCTTAATGGCATTGATAAAGGACTGCTTTTAATGAGTGACATCAAGAGATGGTAACATTCCATATCCATAGTCTGGCCCAATATCTCTATGGGATGAATGCAGAAAGTCACAATAGTCCATGGTGTATTCAATAATCCACTAGCCAGTTTTAAAAATCAATCAGATGAAACAAACTTACAGCTACCAAGGGGATAATGGGGAGAGGGGGAGAGATAAACTAGAAGTTTGGAATTAACATCTATACACTACTGTATGTAAAATAGGTAAGCAACAAAGATCTACTGTATAGCACAGGGAACTATATCCATAACTTATAATAACCTATAATGGAAAAGAATCTGAAAATATATATATATAACTGAAGCACTTTGCTGTGCACTTGAAATTAACACAATATTGTAAATTGTGCTTAGCACCAAAGAACTGATTCTTTTGAATTGTGGGGCTGGAGAAGACTCTTGAGAGTCCCTTGGACAGCAAGGAGATCAAACCAGTCAAACCTAAAGGAAATCAACCCTGAATATTCATTGGAAGGACTGATGCTGAAGCTGAAGCGCCAACACTTTGGCCACCCAATGCAAAGAACTGACTCATTGGAAAAGACCTCAGGAGAAGGGGACAACAGAGGATGAGATGGTTGGATGGCATCACCGACTCAATGGACATGAGTCCAAGCAAACTCTGGGAGATGGTGAAGGACAGGGAAGCCTGGCATGCTGCAGTCCACAAGGTTGCAAAGAGTTGGATATGACTTCGGGACTGAAGAGCAACGACAAACATTTTTTAATTAATCAGATGAATCCCTGCCCAGAGGGGTTCTGGAGGAGAACCCATGAAGCTTTAAAAGACTACTATGCCCACAGTCCCCTTCTCAGAAAAGTCACTCCTAGAGATTCTATCTGTAAACAACCTTCTATGCATTGAATGAAGGTAACATCACCTGGGTGGCCTCAGCCAATGAAAAACAGAAACCCATAAGTCACAGTGAGAACCAAGGTTAAAAATGACAATATTGTTTATGAGGGAGCCCATCTTCTTGTAGGGCTACTTGGCATGAAGCACTATGTCCATCAGGGGAGCTCCTGACTAGACTGTGACAAAGTGACATAGTTAGACTCACTCTTAGGTAGAGGAAATACTAGGTGAACAAAGAGAGCATGGGTTGTTTCCGATCAAGTAAGTAGCTGGGCCAGGTCTCCATGAAGCACCTAACCCTTGGGGGGCTTAAAAGGAGGCTACACCCCAAGACAGCTTACTGTTTGCACTGAGTTCAATATTTCCCTCAAAAAATGTGATTTCTAAAACCTAATACACAGTCTACTTCTGAAATTTTATACTTGAAGTTGCCCTTGGTAGAATCCTTAAATTAATCTAAAGAACTTCTTGATGCTTATTTGCAAACACCAAATATCTCAGTCATTAGAATCTACTATCTACTTAAGTCAGTTTTTTTCCCTTCATTTGTTTATCATCTGTCAGGAACACCATGCAAAGAGCAATGAAGCATAAGATCCTTTCCCCAACCAGGAATTGTGCTTCTTCAATTTAACATTTCACTTTCCTTGCATTTTGCTCTTTAAGGCTAGAACTAGTCTTATTGGTAATTTACATGAGCAAACTCCGGGAGATAGAGAAGGACAGGGAAGCATGGCATGCTGCAGCTCATGAGGTTACAGAGAGTGGAACATGACTTAGTGACCAAACAACAACAAAGCTCAAGTTTACTCGTTAAACACTGTAACAGGAGTTGCTTGATAAAAGTTTTTACAAGCTGACCTCTGGAACTCTTGCCCTCTTTCAAAGGCACCATTATTCGTTTCATAGAACTTAATTTTCAGAAACACTTGAAATGTAGAAGAGTTTAAAACTGAGACATGAAGTGACATCTCCAAACCTTTTGGAAATTTACAAATCTTCAAAAATGTATGGCTGACATGCATATGCATTAAATAAAATCTTAAAATATGNGGACATGACTGAGCAACTGAACAACAATGCCACAAGAGATAGACAGGTATTAGGGATTGCTGAAGAACCAATGAAGTTTGGATGACAAAGTGCCCAAAATAAAGCCTTCACATAAATATTGGGTTGTCCAAATATTTCATTCAAATTTTTCATAAGAATATGGAAAACCCAAACATATTTTTTGGCCAACTGAATACATTTGATCTGGGCCCTGCCAGGCTCAGGATGTGCCTTAGGAGTTGGTATGAAGGCCGAGAGTAATGTTCAGTGAGTAACACACAGGTGCATCTGGTGGAAGTATGATTGAAGAAGTGCTGAATGAGGAAAAGCAAGAAGGTAAGCCCTGGGGAAGGGATTTCATTCCCCAGGGATTAAGGTATTTTGAGAGCTTCCTCAGTGACACTGGATCTGTGCTGGTTTTAGAACAGTGGAAATGGTGAGCATAGGGTGTGGAAGACAGGGATGCAGGGTGTGGTTAGGGGGCCCATCTAATAATCCAGTTGAAAGGTTGTGCTCAGGTGCTCAGTCGTATCTGACTACACCACATGACCTGTAGCCCGCCAGGCTCTCTGTCCATGGCATTTTTCGGGCAAGAATACTGGAGTGGGTTACCATCCCTTCTCCAGGGGATCTTCCTGACCCAGGGACTGAATCCACATCTCCTGCATTGGCAGGTAGATTCTTTACCACTGAGCTACCTGGGAAGATTAGTTAAAAGGTCATAGAGCCCAAAACTAGGGTGGTGGTGATAAGAAAAGAAAGAAGGGTGTGTGATGCTGCAGGAGACATGGAGGTCAGCTGGATTTGGGGGATTACTGAGAAGACACCCAAACCACGGACACCTGAGGATTTTCTGAGCACTGATGAAAAGTCCAAGTATTTCTATTCTCCCTTTTCCCTATTCTCTACCCAATCAAAAATGCCAGAACTTGACATTAGTTGGCAAGTTATCAAGTGTCTAAATATGCACAATAAATGGAAAAGAGTCATCTTTGCCTATGAAAACCACAGACAAAAATAAACCTGGCAGAGGGTGTATCTAGCACAGGCTCCGGTGCCTTCTTTGCAAATCTGTGGGCACTAGTCTAAACCTCTAAGAGCCTCCTACCTTGGGAAAAGCAGCCAAGATTACTGATAATCAAGAGAAAACTGGATTCCTGTCTCCGATTTACCACTGATGGCGTGACCCCTTTAATCATTTATTTCTTCCCTTTTATGCTGGCACAGACATCTCAGAGATCCCCTGCACAGTTCAGACTGCAGGGCTGCACTGTCTTTCCCTCTACCGTTGTGTTGCCTTTAATATTACTTTATTCGATTAAAAATACTTTCTCCTCTGGTCCCCCCCCCCCCCCNCCCCCCCCACCCCGGTTTTCTAATCTCATTCTTCAACACTAATCCGGGCAGGAGCGAAGGCCTCAATATCTAGGTCTGGGCTTTGGACATCAAGACAAAGCCAATCCGACTCCTTCTTCAGCATCTCTTCCTCGCTTGCCGCCATCGCCGCTTGGCCTTCCGGATAGCATCCCGACTAGTTCCCACGGCAACCGGCCGGGCGCCCAAGTCCGGGTTCAGGACCTCCTCGGCCGCAGCCCCGCCCCGCCCCCGCGGCCGCGAGACAAGGTAGGGGGCCGGGTTGCCAAGGAAACGGGAGGACGCTAGGCAGCCGCCCCCACCGCCTCCGCCCCTAGCAAGCCCGGCCGCCGCGGCTAAAAGCTGCCTCCGGGGAGGAGGAAGAAGAGGGGCCGCTAAAGGGAGGGGAGAGGAGCGAGGAGGAAGAGGAGCACCGGGACAGCCCCGCGCGATTGATGGGCGGCTCCTCCGCCCTGGACCGGCCCGCCTGCCCCGCCCCTCGGCCCCTTTAGCCCCTTGCAGGCGGAGAGGACTGACCCGCAAGGTAACGGCCGGCCCGGCCCGGCCCAGCCGCCCGCGCGACCACGCGGCCCCTGGTCCTCCGAGGAAGTGGGGGAAAGAGATGGGAGACCACTTTTCCTTGAGACGATTCCGATTCCGGGACGGGGTTGGGGGGGAGTGGGGTGCGGAATCCAGCCTAAATCCTGAGGACTTGGTCACTCCCTCCCAGCTGGCCACACCCCCCGCATTTTTCTGCCTCAGACACGGTTTGGGGGTCATGTATTTGCACTCTAGCAGGCCCCCTCGCATCCACATAACTTCCCCACAGACTCCAAGAGGGGTATACGGTTCACGGCCCTTCCGGCTCCTCAGTGCGAAATTACTGGTATTGTTGAGAGCATCGAATTGCTGGTCCAGCCTGTGACATCCCCGCCCAGCCCCAGAGTTTCCCAATTACACGTTGACTCTCTCTTTTCTGGGCTTGATGGTCAGTGTATGAAAGTCCGGTTCTTTCACGGTTTGATTAATAAAGGGAAGTCAACGCCAAAGAACATTTCTCATAAGCCATTTATAGTACTGCACCCCAACCCCGCCTCCTGATCTCCTAGGCAAATTGGATGGAAGAGTCAAACCATCCACCCTCGCCCCTCTCAATTACCCGTCTTTCTTCGGTCATAGTATTATTCTCTCAGTAGTGGAGTGTTAGGAAGAGTGAGCCTAAATCATTCATATTTGTCGCCTATACTCAAAATATTTTTGTAAGTTAAGATTTTATTAAGTTTTTTTTACAGACTTTTCAAATTTTTAAGATTTTTGAAAGTCAAATTTTAACAAATTTTGTAATCTTTGTTATTACAAATTAATTGTGTAAAGAAGATGAATAAATCCTCTGCAATCCTTCTTCCCAGCACTGAGTTATGGAAAGGTGGGGGATTTATAAACCTGATGTGCTCTTCTTAGTCACTCAGTCCTGTCTAACTCTTTGCGACCCCATAGACTGTAGCCCGCCAGGCTCCTCTGTCCATGGGGATTCTCCAGCCAAGAATACTGGAGTAGGTTGCCATTCCCTCCTCCAGGGGATCTTCCCAATTCAGTGATTGAACCCAGGTCTCCCACATTCCAGGCAGATTTTTTACTATCTGGGCCACCAGGGAAGCCCATAAACCTGATGGTCAAGTATAAATATAAATACAGCCATTTAGGTTTTGGTTCAGAGGAACCTTGAGTTGAAAGAGGGGTTTACACTGACATTTTTCTTTGTGAGTGAACCAATAACATATTCATTTTGATGACACTTATAACATGAGAACGTCATAAGAAAACAGTGAAATAGCTTGCTTATTATTAATAATAAAAAGGACTCCCTTCCCATCAATTCCTTTTTGTGAAACGTGACCAGAGAACAGAAAGACAGCACATGTGATTTTTTTTTTAGAGCACTGGAAGAAATATATTCTGCAGTCAGACTTTGTTTCTCCTTAGTCAGGGAAATTAAGTCTGAATTCACTGGAAATTGACACTAGAGAGGAAGGCATATGTCACAAAGTTCTTAGAATATTCCTCCCTGAAATTTCACAGACGTGTAGAATTTTGAGGCCAAGAAGAATTGTTCACTCTTGCTTTCAGCCAAGCAGGACTTCCTCTCCCACATGCCTCCTCCTCTCTTCTCATTTCCTGCTCCCTCTCCTGACTTAATATGGCTTCTCCTGTGGATTTCTAAAGCCCAAAGCTGGCACATTATCACCAGAGACTTAAAACAGAAGTGTGCATAACCATGAGTGGATATTGAATTGAGAAGCAGTTCAAAGGTGAGAAACAGCAGAGAATACAGAATGCTATTTTAGAAACATGCACCCTGCCCACATTTTATTATCACTCTCCTCCCCTCCACCTGCCCGTATTTGCTAAAAAAAAATCGGGGCTTCAAATGGCCATCTGGTTGAGTAGGCCCACAAAGCTGAGATCCACACATGAAGCATGATCTCATGTGGATTTATTTCCATATAGTGATTTCCGTTTCCTCTTGGTCAGTTTTTCAAACCCGAAGTCCAGTATAAAGTTGCCACTTCAGAAATGTGAAGGATGTTTGCCTAAACTGTGGTGACCTACCCATCATCTCCTTGATCTATCTCCAATAATCTGTTTCTTTGGGGCCTAGAATTATTTGTTTAATCTCACAAAGTATTGATGTATTTAAGTAAGAGATTAAATGTGGCACCATGATGCTTCTAAATATTGATTTTATAGTAGAGTCCAGTCCTAGAGAGTTTATGGGAGGACAAAGAGACTTGTAGGCAATTTTAAAGTCCATTATTTGGTAGGTGATTGTGAAGTCAGAGGTAACTTAGCATGGAGTAATCCAGATAATGCTACTTCCCACCTCTTTAGACAAAATTATTTCATGTCTCTTGACTGAGAAGCCTCCTTAAAATAACACAGCATTAAAGCCAGGAGAGATTAGCTGGCTTTTCCAGGTTAATTTTGTAACCAAAATGTTTCATCCAAGTGGATTCTGGAATGCCCTCTTTTAGTGACCATTAACATATTTTCATTGTGAATCCTTATGTTCTCTGCCTGATTAATATTCAGACAGGCTTTTCTTTCCATCAGTAGCAGCAGGGATTCATCTTTCTGCCAGTTTTAACACCATTGTTTTCTGAAAAGCGTGGGAACATAAGTTTATTCTATGCAGGTACAAATTCATATGAAAAGTTAAAAGTGGTCTCTTAAGTTAGACTTCCATAAATGACTATTAAAATTCTCAGAGACAAAATTTAGGCTTTGTGTGTCATCTGTGGAACTACCTATCAGATTGTAGTTTTGGATTCTGACTCACAAAGATCAACTTGCTATAAATGAGAGAAAATATGCCCCAAGGGACCAGCATAAGTTCCTAGATGATATTGTTTGGGGCTTAATGATAAATCTTGCAAGATTTCATAGAGACCAGACCAGACACTGGGTCACCATGAGTCAGAGGCAACCTGATTCTGCCAATATCTGCACAACTGGAAAAACAAACCAAACAAGGAAGGAAAGCCATAGAATATAAACACTTGAGGTCAAGAATGTTGTCTGTCTTATCTTGCTGTTTTCCCAGAGCCTACAGCAGCATCTGTCACATGACTATCATTAAAAAAACACATGTAGGAAAGAAGAACCAAGCTGGAGGCATCACTCATCTTGATTTCAAACTATATTATAGTGCTACAGTAATGAAAACAGTATGATATTGGAAGAAAAATAGACATATAGATTAATGGAACAGAATAGAGAATCTGAAATAAACCCATGAATATGTGGTCAATTAATTTATGACAAAGGAACCAAGAATATACAGTGGGGAAAAGATAGTCTCTTCAATAAACAATGTTGGGAAAAGTGGACCACTGTCTTACACCATACACAAAAATCAACTCAAAATGGATTAAAAACTTGAACATAAGACCCCAAACCATAAAACTCCTAAAAGAAGTAAGATAGTAAATTCTTCAATATTGGTCCTTGCAATGGATTTTTTTAATGTGGCAACAAAAGCAAATATCAACAAGTGGGCCTCCATCAAACTAAAAGGCTTCTGCATAGCAAAGAAAACCATCAACAAAATGAAAAAGCAAACCCACAGAATGGGAGAAAATATTTGCAAATCATATATCTAATAAGGGGTTAATATACAAAATATATAAAGAACTCATACAACTAAATAGCAGATAAACAACCCAATTTTTAAAATGAGCTGATCTGAACAGACTTTTTCCCAAAGAAGACATACAGGTGGCCAACAGATGCATGAAAAGGTGTTCAACATCACTAATCATCAGGGAAATGCAAATCAAAACCACAACGAGATATCACTTCACATGTGTTTGAATGGCTTCTATCAAAAAGAAAAGAAACAAGTGTTGATGACAAGGGTCGGCAAGTATAAGGAGAAAAAGAAACCCATGTGCACTGTTCGTGGGAATGTAAATTGGTGCAGCCATTATGGAAAACAGTACGGGGGTTCCTCCAAAAAATTAAAAATAGAACTACATTTGACACAGCAATTTCACTCCTGAGTATTTAAGCCAAAGGAAACGAAAACACTAACTCTAAAAGATATTAACATGTGCACCCCTATGTTCATTGCAGCATTATTTACAATAACTTAGACATGGAAGCCACTGAAATGTCTTATCAATGGGTGAATGGATAAAGAAAATGTGGTGTATCTATAAAGATCCCCTGGAGAAGGACGTGGCAACCCACTCCAGGATTCTTGCCTGGAGAATTCCATGGACAGAGGGGCCTGGCAGAGCTTGTCCGTGAGGTCACAAAGAGCTGGACATGACTGAGCATGCACACACTCATGGATACACACACACACACACACACACACACACACACACACTCTTAATGGAATATTATTCATCTATAAAAAAGGAGGAAACCTTGGCATTTGTGACTACATGATTGACCTTGAGGGCCAAGTGAAGTAAGTCAGAGAGAGACAAAATACCATGATCTCTCTCATATGTGGAATCTAAAAAATGAAACCACCAAACTCATGGATACAGAGAGCATACAGAGAAGATTGGTGGTTGCCAGAGGCATGGAGTGGGAAGAGAGTGAAATGGCGAAGGAGCTAAAGAGTACATACTTTCTGTTATTAAATAAATAAGTACTAAGGATGCAATGTACAACATAGTAACTATAGTTGATAACAGTATATGTGACCATTGCTAACAGAATAAACACATCATAAGAACAAAAAATAATTGTAATGATGTGGGCTGACAGATGTTAACTAGACTCTTGGTGGTGGTCCTTTTGGAATACATACAAATACCAGTGTACTCCTGAAACTAGTATGATGTTATATGTCAGTTATGTAGTTGCTTGGTTGCTAAGTTATGTCAGGCTCCTCTGTCCATGGGATTTCCCAGCAAGAGTACTGGAGTGGGTTGCCATTTCCTTCTCCATGGGATCTTCCCAACCCAGGGATCAAGCTTGTGTCTCCTGCATTGGCAGGCAGGTTCCTTACCACTGAGACACCAAGGAAGCCCATATGTCAATTATATCTCAGTTTAAAAAAAAATGTAGAAATAAGTGAAAGAGCTTCACTGGTCAATAAGCAGAAATAGTGTGGGACCCCTGATGACCCTATAAATGAAAGCCAGTAGACTCACTATGAACTATGCCATTAACTAATTCAATGTTTTTGTCATCAATTTAGACCACACCAGTCAAACTTCTTGAAAGCATCATCTGCACTTCCTTACCTCACATTTACGCAACTCAGTGCAATCTGTCTTCAGCCCCCTCACTCCACTAAAATGCTCTCACTGAGGTTATTAATAATTTCTTCCTTGAAACACGCACTTCTCAGCATCTATGAAACTGCACCCACCTGATTCTCAGTTTTCCTCCTGCCTCTCTGGCTTCTTTCCAGAGTTTCTTTTCTGCTAACTTTCCTGTTCTTAAAATCCAGTGGTCCTCAGAATTTTGTCCTGGGTGATCCTTCTCTTTACAATACCCATCGTGCCTTCCACTTCAGCTGTTACCAAAATGTCAGCAATGCCCCAGTCTTCACTTCTCTAATCAGCTCTAGAGCTGTATATCTAACTGCTTACTCGACATCTCCATTTGCTGTCCCCGGCCCCTTCAAAATCCGCATTATTTTCTCACAAACCTGCTCCTCATTCCAAGTTTTCTGAAGGGAATGTTGGCATCAACCATCTGGCTGCCTGAACCAGTAACCTGGGCAGCCGCCTTTACACTTCCGTCTTTTTTATTATCATGTCATTTTTATGATCATGTCATCTTTATTATCACCAAGGCCTGATGATTTTTCTCTCTTCAGTGTCCCTTGAACCCATCATGATTAGAGCGTGGGCACTGGCATGAAACTCCCTGGTTTCAAACCCCAACTCTTGGGCTTACCAGTTCTGTAACCTTAGACAAGTTACTTAATCCCTTTGTGCCTCAGTTTCCTCATCTGCAAGAGAGTGATAATTTTTGCCGCAATCGTGAACATTGCATGAGTTAGTATGTTTAAATATTTCAAACACTACTTAGCACTTCCAGAGGCTCCATAAACAGTAGCTATGAGCTCCTCCTCCTCTTCCTCTTTCCCTCCAGTTGTGACCCAAGTCTGGGCACCATCTTATCAGGATTCCTCTAACATGTCCCCAGTGGTCTGTCCACTTCCATTCTTCTTCTACCTCCTCCCCCACCCTCCATCCAGTCTCTATCCTACAGCTGGAGGGACCTTTGGCTTTGTTTTGGTTTTGGCTACAGCTTGTAGGATCTTATGTAGTTCCCCGACCAGGGATTGAACCTGGGCTCCTGGCAGTGAGAACATGGAGTCCTAACCCCTGGACCACCAGGGAATCCCCTGGAGGAAACTTTAAAAATGCAGATCTAATTACATCCTCCCCCCCGATTGGAACCTTCCAGTGGCTTTATATGACTCTTTGAATCCAACCTCCAAGGCCCCTCATGAGCTGGGCCCACAGCCCTTCTGTGGCTGTCCTGGCCTCCCTGTGTTCCAGCTGCCCTGTCCCCTTCCTGCCCTGAAGCCTCTGTACTTTTTGTCCTTTCATCCCAGATCCTTTTGGTCCCATTTCCAGCCCTGCTCCCTCCTTAGCAAACCCAGTGTCCTTCCCTAAGGAAAACCTTGCCTCCCCGTCCCCCAGTGACAGTTTCTCAGAGACCCCCGTTTTTCTGCTCCATCGCACTTATCAGCATCAGGGTCCACTGTCAGTGTCCCAAGACTTGGGGTTTGAACCCAGAGAGTCTCATACTAGTGCCCAAGCTCTAATCTTGATGGATCCCAGGGATACTCAGGGATGAAAACCATCAGGACTTGGTTTTCATATGGATGGGCCAAGAGAGGGCAGGGTGAAGGAAGCCACCCAGGTTACTTGCTCGGGCAGCCAGCTGGTTGATGCCAACATTCCCTTCTGAAAACTGGGGAGGAGGAGCAGTTTGTGAGAAAGCCATGTGGGGTCTGAAGGGCTGGGGGACTACCATGTTCAGTGCTGGCTTCCACCCTAGACTGAGAGCCACAAAGCCCAGGGCCATGTCATCTTGTCGAGCACCTGGCCTTCGTGCCCAGTGGAGTGCCTGGATTGGAATGGGGGTGTGATCATCGTAGAGTCCATGAGTTTATGTGACCACGGGGCTCGGAGCTTCGGTCATTGCTAATCAAGCTAGGTTCTTTTTTGTCGTGTGGTCAAACTGCTTCTGCCGGTCTAACTCCCTCTGAGTAACCAGGACAGGCTGGCTGAAGCCAGCTGATGAAAGTGGCTACATTATTTATGTCTGGAACAAGAGGGCTGTAAGGGCATCGACACCCAGACAAAGAGTCCTTTGAGTCTGAAAGGAGCATCTGTGCCCTTCCAACAATGGACTTGAGATTAATAAGAGAATAAAAGCAATTATACTAAGAGAAGTCCCCAAATGGCAAAGCAACAAAGGGTTATATCACAGCACATTTATTCATCTTCCATATGCAGGTCGGGGATTAAGAATCATGTTACACGAAGCAAAGGACAGGCAGAAGTTCGTCAGTGATGTTCAGTATCTGCGGGACATGCAGCACAAAGTGGACTCAGAATACCAGGTAATAGCAGGAAACGAGAATTCTCTTCCATCAACAGTATGAGGAGAGAATCGGGGGAACAGCACTGGTATATGAGAAGCAGCAATAGGTTTCCAAAATTCAAACCCCACACTTGGGACTTCCCTGGTTGTCCAGTGGTTAAGATTTCACCTTCCAATGCAGGGGGTGCAGGTTTGATCCCTGCTCTGGGAACTAAGATCCCACATGCGTCAAAGCAAAAAAAAAAAAAAAAATGTAAAACAGAAGCAGTATATTAATGCATATATGTGGAATCTAGAACCATGGTACTGATGAACCTATTTGCAGAGCAGTAATGAGACGCAGACGTGGAGACTAGACTTGTGGACACAGTGTGGGGAAGGAGAAAGTGGGACGGATTGAGAAAGTAGCATTGAAACATGCACATTACTGTGTGTGAAATAGACAGCTGCTGGGAAGTGGCCTGTAGATCACAGGGAGCTGAATCTGGTGCTCTGGGACGACCTAGAGAAGTGGGGATGAGGAGGTAGGAGGGAGGTTCAAGAGGGCGGTGGCAGGGGGCGCAATATATGTATACTTATGGCTGATTCAGGTTGTTTTACAGCAGAAACCAGCACAACATTTTAAAGGAATTATCCTCTAATTAAAAATATTTTTTTAAAAAACAGAAGCAGTATTGTAACAAATTCAGTAAAGACTTTAAAAATGGTCCACAACAACAACAACAAAAATCTGTAAAAGAAAAAAAAAATCTCAAAAACCCACACTTAAGAGCTGTGTGACCAATGAAAAGCTACTTAACCTCTTAGAGTCTATTTCCTCATCTGTACAATGGGGATAATAGTGCCCACCCCCGCGCCCCATTATATCATCGTGGAAATGAAATAACATTTTTCAACTATTTAATCCAAAGCTTGGTACACAAACCTTATCAACAAATGACATCAGGGCTTAAATTGGATAAACCAGCAATCAAGAAAAAAAGACATTAAGCAGTTAACTGGGTCACCCTACCATTTATCAAACAACACACCCTTCCGTTGTCCTGCCGCCAGAAGAAAGGTGGTTAACACATTCTACAACAAGCTAACTCTTCGTCACCCTAGTTACAGTGTTTACATGCAAAAACAAAACAGACAGGGAGCCTGAGAAGTCATGATGTAATTACCCAGAGCTGGCGTGGGACAAACCTGCCAGACTGGCTTGTGGGATTCTGGGAGCAGTTAGAAAGTGTCGCTCAGCCTACTGGCCGGAGGTCACCCCTCAACAATCAAGGAGGCACATCCTTAGCTTCAGCTGAGAATCAAAAAGTGCTCCTTCCCAAAGGAAAACACAGACCTGTCATTATCAGGTTTTTCTCCTTCTTAGCAATTTCAAATATAACCGAACCTCCCGTGTCACCAAGGAAACCAGACCGATCTCAGTAACCTGATTTCACCTGTATAACACAGTTCAGCTCTGGGCCTGGAAATGAAGTCAGCAGTTGCCTCCTACACTTGTCAATCCACCTCCAAGGCTGTAGAATTGAGGGGATTTCTATAAGATAATAAGAACGTAAACATCTGAACTGGTCACACTGGGAGGCCCTCTGCTTTCCACGAAGATGCCTCTGCCACAGAGCCCAGGTTTAGAAATACTTGCTTGAAACTGTCTCCAGAACAGGCACATAAGAAAATCAATCTTATTATTTGATGGTCTTTCCTGAAGAAAACCGCACAATCGTGCGGCTTGGAGTCACTTGCAGCTTTATTTTCTAGTCTCATTTGGGCTTTCAACACTGTGCTTGTTCATAAGGACACTTTCAACACTGTGTTTATAAATAATAATAATTATTAAGTGCCTACTGTGTCCTGAACAAGGCTTCCCTGGCGGCTCAAGTGGTAAAGAGTCCACATGCTAATGCAGGAGACTTGGATTCGATCCCTGGGTCGGGATGATCCCCTGGAGAAGAAAATGGCAACCCACTCCAGTATTCTTGCCTGGGAAATCCTGTGGACAGAGGAACATGGCTGGCTACAGTCCATGGGGCAGAAAAGAGTTGGACATGACCGAGCAAGTGAACAACAATGTTCTGAACAAAGTCCCTTCTCTCCCCGACTTCTTATTCTATGACTGAGAAGCAAACTACACACACAAGTAAATTAATATGTAAGACAATATAATGTATGTGATAAATATAATGAGGCCAGCAAAACAGAGGTAAAGGGGGTGGGGTGATGCTCTTTTTCACAGGCAAGGCATCTTCTTTGAGGAAATAACATTTGATCCTGGAGGTAAAATGATGGGAAAGAGCTGGTCAGAGCATCCTGAGCAGCAAGGAAGCAGGTGCAAAGGCCCTGTGGCAGGAACTAACTTGGTGCAAACAAAAGAAGGTGCGCTTGGCTGAAACGCTAAGGGAGGGTATGGAAGAGGTAGATAGGACCAGATCACATTGAGTCTCTCAGGACAAAGCTTGGTCTTTGGTGTTTATTCTTATCCCAATGAGAATTATTGAACAATTTAAAGCAGGCGAGTGGGATGATCTGATTTACCTTTTTAAAAAGATCACCTCAGGGGCTTCCCTGATGGTCCAGTGGTTAAGAATCTGCCTTGCAATGAAGGAGACGCCAGTTTCATCCCTGGTGTGCATGCCTCAGGGTAACTGAGCTCGTGCACCACAACTGTCAAGCTTGTGTTCTGGAGCCCGTGAGCCACAACTACTGAGCCCACATGCCTAGAGTCTGTGTTTCACAACAAAAGAATACACTGCAACAGAAAGCCTGCACACCACAACTAGAGTAGCTCCCCACTCGCCACAACTAGAGAAAGCTTGTGTGCAGCAGTGAAGACCCAGAGCAGCCAGAAATAAATGAATTTAGGGAAAAAAAAAAAAAGATCACTCTGGCTTTTGTGTGGGAAAAGCACTGAAAAGGGCAAGAGAAGCTTCAGAGAAACTTGTAAGGAAACTGATAGAAATTTAGGCGAGACCAGCATGGTGACAGTGGGGGTGGTGAGAAGCAGCCTGACCCAGGAAATATCAACCGAAGCTGCACAGACATCTTGCTGATAGACAGGGAGAAAGAGTGAGGGAAAGAGGGATGAAGGATAACTCCAATATTTTTGTTGTCCATCAGTTCCCTCCATTATCACGGTTTAAACTTTAGTTTTTCAAACCTCCCATCCTTCTACTTTCAACAAGGACCATCTCTCCCTGTTTTACACACACATGAAACCAAAGAACTTGAGGCGGACAGGTGGGACACCACTCAGCTCTTCCCCTTCCATCCCGGGATGCATGCCTGTCTAGCCCTCAAGTCTCGAGGGGTGAAGGACACTCTCACTGCTGGGGCTGGACCTGAGAGCTAGGTCCACGCTCCTGTGTGCCCAGCCCCTCTCCATCCGTGGACCTCCCATCTGCATCCTTGAAATTCCTCCTCTTCTTACTGTCTCAGCCCACAAACATGTTCAACTCTCTCTCACACTGAGAACAAAAGAATAAAGCTGCCTGTGGACCATGTGTCCTTTTCCAGCCACAACCCTGGCACTTTCTAGTCTCCATATGTCCCCAAACAGTCAGCTAGACTTTTGTCTCCACTTCCTGCTCCCTCGGGTGCATCTCACTACCTACTGGCCTGTTAGCCTGGCTGTCTCCTAAGGTCAGTAGCAAAAATCAGCAGACAAATTTTAAGTCTTTGTTTTCTGAAACTTTATCTGCATTTGGGGCCATTACTCTTTCCTTCTTGAAACATTACTTCTCTGGCTTCCTGATATCACGTTCTCCTGGTTTTCCTCCTGTTTCACTCACATTCCTCTCTCTACCCATCATGTGTTAATTCCTGTAGGTTTCCATCAGCCCAGTTTTCTCCTAGTTCACAATTTCTGTGGCCCATCTCATCCCTTCCTATGTTTTTAACTACCACGCATACACTGATGGGGCTTCCCAGGTGGCTCAGTGGTAAAGAACCTGACTGCCAAGGTAGGAGACATGGGTCAATCCCTGGAAGATCCCCCTGGAGAAGGAAATGGAAACCCACTCCAGTATTCTTGCCTGGGAAACCCCATAGACAGAAGAGCCTGGAGGGTTACCGTCCATGGGGTTGCAAAGAGAGTCAGACATGACCTAGTGACTAAACCACGGCAATAACATACACTCATGACCTATAATCCCGCGTCTTCTCAAAGTGTCAGAATCCCATACACAGCTGCTTGCTGGATGGGTCCAGCTAGCAGTCAGAAAGGCACACCGAATTCAGCGTGTCCATGGTGAACTCAGCATGGTCCATCCCAGTCATCCTCTTATGTACCCCCTCTCTGAAGATGGTGGCCCAAACCTTCCCTGACTCCTTCCTCTCTGTCACCACCCACAAACCACCCCACCACCACCCCTGCCAATTACCGAGTTCTGCTGAGTTCACTAAAAGCTCATGAACTTGTGTCTCCCTTCTCATCCTGTGGCCATTGCCCTGCTTCCAACCTCCATGGTTTATTTCCAAGTTTATTAAAATATCCTCATAACCGCTCTCCCTGCCTGCAACCTTGCCACCTTTCAGATCAAAATTTATGGAAAATGAGAACTGAGTATGCAATTCCATCATTTTCCCCTCATGCAGAGGCAGGTCCCAGACCCAAGAACCACAGCAAGAACAGCCCAATCCTCCACCACTTCTCTAACCTCCCTTCCCTGGTCTTTATTCTCTCAACAAGAGTGGTGAAGATCATAGTTTTAACTTAGAACTAGAGGGAACCTCTGTATTCCCATCGCACCCTCTTCAAAACAAAACAAAACCTTATTGAAGTGTAATTTACGTATCATAAAATTCACCTGTTTTAAATTTAAATTTACCAAGTTTGCTGTCATCACCAACATCTGGTGTTAGAAAATTTCTATCGCTCCAATACCAAAGCACCCTCTTCATACCTCTTCTTCATTGTTGATGAGATTGTACTGTTGTTGATGAGATTGTATTGGAATTGTCTTTTGTATGTCTTTCTATCAAACTGGACCACAACTTCTTCAGGGAAGGACGGAGTCACTTTCCTGT